TGAGCTCGCTGCCTCTCCTGCGTGCCCATGGCCGTGGCCAGCAGTGCAGACACCCTCTCCTTGCCCCAGGTGCGAACGCTGCAGTCGGTCATGAACATCCTGACCTCCAGCATCCTGCTGCCGCGTTTCAACGGTGAGCAGGGACTCGCCGCGGGGAACGGGGGGCACCGGGGGAAGCACAGAGCGGATCGCTCCGGTGCTAGTTACATCCTTGGGGCCAAGATGGGTCTGTGGGTAAAACCTGATGCTTTTCAGCACCCTCTGGGTGCAGTGGGGCCGGGTGCCAGCCCCCCGCAGAGCCCGTGGTGGGGTGTTCCTCTGCCCCCCTGGGCTGCAGCAGGGAGGACGAAGGGCTGGGGTCGGAGGTGGCTGCCGCTTTGCGCCGCCCGACGCGTCCCATCCTGTCACACGTGGCCCTGCGCCTCGTCTCGTTGCAGCGCGTCTGGCCCAGGGCTTCCCGCTCCCCCTGCTCGACCGCATACAGCTCTCCAACGTGCTCGTGCAGTGGCACCAGGTGAGTCGGTGCCCGGCTGTGGGCACCAGCAGTGGAAAGGGGGGCACTGAGCTTCCCAGGGCACCTTTTGGAGCCAGTGGAGGGGCCGGTGTGCACGCTGGGGTGCAGCAACTCCGGGGCCTGGGGCAGCCGGAGCCTTGGGGCTGTGGGGAGCATGGGGGCCGCTGAGGATTTAGTGCTGGCTGCAGCTGCCAAGAGCCTTTGGGGCTAAACCAGAAGGGGCTGCAGGAAGCTCTGGGCTCCGTCCTGCGAGCAGGTGGTCGCAGGGGCTGCAGCAGCCATCGGCACCAGGGCCACCCTCAGAGCCTCCCTCTCCATTCCCCAGAACCTGCTGCTGCTGGGCGCCGATGTCCACCTCCAGCGCAGAGCGTGAAGACCAGGATCCGGGGACCCGGCACCAGGGTGGCCGCTGCCTGACACTTCCCACCGCGAGGACGTGGGGGCTGGAAGGGGCCCCGGGAGAAGCAGCTCCCGCGCTGGCTCCTCCGCCACCAGCATCGACCGCAGGACTGGCTCCAAACCGGGCCCTGCTCCCCAGGGCCTGCCCTGCGCTGCCAATAAAGCCAGTTGCGCACGGGCCCCAGCTCCAGTGTGCTCAGAGCCGCGCGTCACCCCACCTTGCCCCGTGTCACCCTGTGCTACCCCGTGTCACCTCGCGCTACCCCGCATTGCCCCGTGTCACCCTGCGTCACCCTGCGCTACCCCACGTGTCCCCACGGCCCTCGCTCGCCCGTTCTGCCCGGCCCTGACACTTCCTCTGCCCCTTTCCCCTGGAAACGTTCTGTGGTGCCATTGCAAGCACTGGCCCCAGGGTGTTACAAACCCCCCGAACACGCCTCTCTGGAGGCAGCAGGGCCCGGGCCGGCTCTGGGTTGGTGTTTGTTTGTTTGATTGATTGATT